ATTTTGGCTCATTTTAAAAAGGACGGAACTCTTTCTTTTACAGGACTCATCTCCAACAGCAGGACCGCGTACAAAAACGCTCTAAAACCACCAACCATCAGGCTGATGGAGGTGACAGGCTTACCTGTAGCACCAGAGGGTGTCCCGGTGTGGTGCTGTGGCCGTGGATCACGGCAGCCAGCGTGCAGCTGAGGCTGTAGCTGCTGTGGAGAATCTCCCAACTTGCATCGTCACTCGCTGGAAGGAACCAGGTGCAGGCGAGTTAAAATATGAAGATTCTGCTTCTGTGTTACCCGACATAACCCTGATTTAGTAAACCTACAAGTATATATCACATGATCTGATGTACTAAGTTATAAAATAAAAACCTTTCATGAGGTCGGGGTGATCTAAAGTTTAAGATGGAGCATGTTGTGTGAAGAAAAACGTCACCTAAGTGTTCCAGCAGGGAGATGATGGAGCTCGTCAGAGCAGGGCTGGTGTTCGGGTTTCCTGCGAGCTCCACCAGTCCACTCACACACTCACTGGGTAGAACCTGACCCGAGGACAGCAGGTGGTCACACCTCAGGCCCGCCACCTCCTACAAACAACACAGCACGCATGTAGACCACAGATACACAGACTCCATACGCAAAGACAGGCACATATTCCCCCAGCAGTAGCATAGAAACATTTAACCCACGTTTATTTTTATTTACACTTTCTAAACACGAGTCAGTCGCAGTTCTTAAATGTTAAAGCACAACATAAAGTTCACAGCTGCATTTTGTAAACATGTTGAATGCGTTTCAACTTTTTGTTATGAAATGTTGTATTTTTATTCATTGCTTTTTGAATCATAGTTAAATTTTACCCCACAACCCTTCGTGGACCAGCGGGTATAGGCTAAGGATTAAATCTATTTTCCGTCATCCATGGACGTAATTTTCACTTTAGATGTGTGTGTGTGTGTGTGGGGGGGACACGGGGGGGGGGGGGGGGGGGATCTTTACAGTATGTTCTAATGGGAAACAGGCTTCAACACAAACGTTTCTACTTGGTCCTAGAGCTCAACCAGTGTCAATTTAATATAAAGTATTATTGCTTTTCGATGGTAGAAAGTGCAGGGGTCAAAACTTGACTTTGGAAAATTTGTGGGGGGGGGACATGTCCCCCCTGTGTCCCCCCAAATTACGTCCATGCCGTCATCATCCACTTTTAGTTGCATTTGCTTTCATAAAGGCAATTAAACACTTTAACAGCCTTTTTACTGGAAAGAGAGCCCAAGTAGGGCAAAAAATCTTTTAAATTAGTCTCAGAATACTGAGTTGTATCCTCCCACTAGAAATAAGATGTGCACCGAAACCTCTTTTTACCTTTAAAAAACATCACGATGTTCTAGTAGTGCTGCTGGGCCCGAAACTGAAATTTCCCATAGATGCTGCTGCATCATCACATAGATGTCTATGGGCGGATCAGGCTGCATCAGTTCCTGTTTATTGATAAACACATCAGCTCACCTCCACCTGTTTCTGCAGCTGCGCTGCGTGTTGAGCCGTCCTGCTGTCTCGGTACTGTTGGATCGCCAGCAGCAGCGACTTCAGACACGTAGTTAAATCCATCCTGTAAAAGAAACGACTCTTTATTCTGCGGATAAAACTCGTTTGAGTGCCCAAACCTGACCTTTCTGCCCCGTGAATCACTCAGAATGCTAACACACCAGCTAAGCTAGCTGGGTTAGCATGGGTTCATAAAACGATCGGAGCAGATTAAGAGTTGAAGAAAACATTTGCTCTTGTCTGCGTGGTCACAAAATACTTAGATGATAATTTGTAACACTGTACCTACGGTTTCTTTCCGTCTCAGAGAAACGTCAACCGGCCAGACGACAACAGAAACGTCCCGCTTTGAGCTTCGAACCGGGAGGAACGAACCATGTGGAGGACGGGGGGAACCGGACAAACTTAATCTCTCTTCTAAAGATTAAAAATAAACAATCCCTAATCAAAATAAGTTAATACAAGAGTTTTCGCTAAACAATTTAAACTAGAATATATTAGCTGATTAAAACATTAAGTTCATGCACTACAACAACATAATGCTAACTATTTACCCCCTCGTACCAATGAAAGTCCAAAACACCAGCCTACGTCATAACGTAGGAAACGTAAAGGGGAGAAACCGGAAGTCGCTGTATGAATGAACGAATGAATGGATTTATTTCGATTTTTGTATCATAGGACTTAGATAAAGTTATTAAATATTACAGTTATTCTCTAATAGCCTACAAACATTTCTATGATTTATTAAAGAGATTTCAGTCATTTTGATAATTGACTTGTGAAAGCTGATTTGAAGGTTGTTATTTTTTCTAGACATATTTAGAAGGAAATTTTCAAATATATTAAAATCAATATGGAACTATTTGGATTTTAGTAGCTTTCATGTTATGTGATTTAATAAAAATTTAATTTGACATTTATGTTCTCTCTCTTTGTTGTGAAAAGTTGGATATGTTTTAGTACTTAAAATTAATGCTTTGCATCCGTCCACACGTGTAGCTGCTGGTCAGCTAATAGCCGTGTCATTTCAGGACATGTTGCTTCAACTATTAATGATCTACTTTTAAATCTTTATTCTGAATTGCTTATTCCATTTTAGGCCACAGTCTTGTTATTGAAATGAAAAGAAAAAGAAAGGATGCTAATGGAGATGTACAAAATTGGCAAGATATTATTGTTGATCAATATCCTCCAGCTCTGTTCTAATGACAACATCCCATCTGTGTGTGTGTTGCTGTCCAACTGTCAGCAGACCAGGTCAGTTGAAATGGCAGAGAAACGAAAAACAGCAGACATCAGGTCGTTTTTTAATGCTCCAGAACGTCAAGTAAGTAGAAACTTGCATTTTGATAAAGACATCTATAAGAAAAAAATGAAATTGTTTCTAAATGGTTTCATTAGGCAAAGTCCAGTCACTGGAGCACAGGCAGCCAGAGCCGGTCAGACACAGAGTCTCAGGTCAGTCTCTTATAAGGACATACAGTGTTGTAGAGTATTTTTTTCATGTCCCCCCAAAAGTTTCTCTCTGAAGTTTTACTGTTTATTGTCCCCCCCCCCAAAATCGAAATGGGATTTCCGCCCTTGCTTGTAGCTAACCAACAGAATGGAAAGGTTAGCTGCAGATGAGCACAGTAAATGTAACTGTGGTTGGAGCAAAGTCTATCTGGTTTATCATCTGTGACACCACTTTTCCATTCTGCTTGTTGTGTCTCTTGTTCACCTTCACTTTCTCCAGTGCAAATAATGGAATCAAATCTGTACTATTTTACAGAATCCTGCATTGTTACCATCATTAAATGTGGTGATAATTTAACAGCAGCAATAATATTTTAGACATAACAGCATCAGGAAGCTGTGTGAGTGAGAAAGAGTGAGGCTTGTGTGTAAAGATGGTGTGAAAACAGACACAGGATGTGTGGTTGGGTCTTGTCCGTGCTTCTACTGTTGAGCAACACGAGCTTCTCTTATTTGGTTCTTAAGCTGCATAAACACAACAACATGAGGTTATTAAGTTAAGTAATGAAAATAGGATTTTATTTTATCTAACATAATGCTAAATATATTATAACTCTATGTTATAAAACACGCAGCTGCAGACTTTATTAGGTTTTAAAAGACTGGACCATGTTTGGTTCACTTCCTGCATCGGTTTGACACTTTAAATGTGTAAAGATGTAATTACATCTCATGTTCTAGGCTGATACTAAAGACTGTGGGAAGTTAATTTACTCACTTGTTTTAACGCAACATGTCAACAAATAACGCTCGTGAATAAAATGTCCTTTTTACCGCTTTTATGTTTGTCTTCCATCCCGGATTTAACCTTTCATCCTCCACACCGAGAACAATTCTTAGAAACGTTAACGTTTTTCACTTTTCTTTTCGTTTATATTACATAATACTAAACTTTTTAACAAAACATCATCATTATGACAGGATTATGTTTGTAGATTTATGATGGCTGCATCTTAAAGGCAGAGCGTGTTTCAAAAGGACACAGTTGCAAAACTAAAATTGGATAAAGGGATTTGTTTTATCAGGTTTACGTCTGCTAAAAGAATCATTTAAATAAAATGCAATACTTAGAGGTGTGCCGTTGTGACTCTCCAACCATGATTTAGGCCGATTCTGATCCGTATCATCATAAACAAATTCAATTACAAAGAAATCAGATTAGATGCAGTGGAGCAGGTCAGTCAGAGCGAGCCTGTTGCTGTAATGTGTGGAGATGGTGCGTTCACAGACCAAATAAAAAACCAGACTTTAGAGCTTCAGAAGCAGCTGCTGACTGTTGGCTGATTCCAGTCATCCAACAGACTTGTGAAGCATCATAATGATGTTTATTTGGTCTGTTTCATAATATTTCAGCATCAATCAGTTCGTTTTCTGTTTTGACACAAAGCTGCTTCCTGTCACATCCCGATCAAATCCTCCAAAATAAAAGTAAGAAGTAAACTTTATCATGTTTTAAATAATTTAATAAAGAGGCCACAGTTTGATGACCACCTGTCTTCATGGAGGACAAACGTCCATGTCATGTCAGCAAAAACAGGGTCAGGTGAAGCACAAAAGTTTCTGACAAAACACTAAAATCAGAACTTGTTTTGCTGAAGCTGACCCGAGCCTGGAGGTGTGAAGCATCTTCTGTATGGACAGCGGTGGGCGCCGCAAGCTAACGAGACGGTTGTGGTTTCTTCGGTCCATTCATGCCTCGGCTCAAACAGCTGCTGTCTGCTCCTCAGCCGGTCCTCCTGCCTGATCCTTCAGGCAGAAGGAGACTCCATAACTCAAGGGATGAGCCAGAGTCACATCAACACATAAAAAAAGCAGCCAATCCGATCTCAGGGCTCTTTCTGTCCAGCAGCCAGCCTGTCGCTGGGACACGATTTGTTTTGTTTGAATGTGTCTGACAGGCAAAAAGTTCAACTTTTGCTCCAAAAATCCAAAAACACAAAAGTCTGCTAGTCAGAAATGTACCGTCGAACTCAGCAAATACAAGAACATTATGAGGAGAAGACGTCTGCACATTTCAGAAGAGAACACACTTCGATGGCACGTCACGTAAATATTCAATAATAAATTATAAAACGCTTGGAAGATTTTACTTCCTGAAGAGCAAAAAAACACTTTTACTCTCCGGTTCCTCAGAAAACACGGATCCAGAGTCACGTTCCTGGTCTGGATCAGGGTTCTGTAGGTCTGGATCAGGGTTCTGTGGGTCTGGACCAGGGTTCTGTCTGGGTCAGGGTTCATGTTCTGGACGGGTCTGCTGCAGTCCTGGTGTGGATGACCCGGTTCTGTTGGACACCAGGGGTATCTAGATGTTGCAGAGGGAGTGGAAACATCACAAAGCTGGAAAACATTACTGTCCACTTTGTTTTTGGGACACACAGAAACAGATTTAAGACTTATGAATGCGCTCCGTCTCCTCTGATCTTCTGTGCTTTTGTTTCAGTCCAGAAAGAAGAAGCAGAGCTCTGAGAAACGTGAAAGTCCAAAAACTCTACATGTTTGTTTTCCTGCAGAAGACTCAGTCTGTAGATTTATCCTCCTCTGTTTCCAGAAGATGCTTTCATGTGCGTCCTCACTGGTTTGTAGATAGAAGTCCGTGTTAATCAGGAAGAACCTCCACGTACACAGAAGAAGGACTGTCTGAAGGAAACATCAGAAAACAGAAGACACCATAAATGATAACGAACTTTAAGAAGAAGAACAAAAGAAGTCCAACATACTCGCGTAGTCCGGCTCTTCTTCTTCTACAGGCAAAGGGGCAGGTCTTCTGGTAAATCTGTTGCAAACTGTTCTTCCAGCTGATCCTCCAGATGTTCCTCTGGCTGATCCTCCAGATGTTCCTCCAGCTGATCCTCCAGATGTTCCTCCAGCTGATCCTCCAGATGTTCCTCCGGCTGATCCTCCAGATGTTCCTCCGGCTGATCCTCCAGATGTTCCTCCAGCTGATCCTCCAGATGTTCCTCCAGCTGATCCTCCAGATGTTCCTCCAGGTGTTCTACGTACATTCTGAGGTGTTTCTGGCCTTTCTGCCATTTGGATTAACAGTGACGTCTTCCTTTTGACAGAGTGACGCAGGTGGATGGCGAGGCCCTGGTGCTTCCTCTTATAATTACGGATTAAATCATCCAAAGTCTTAAAATACGTCTCCTGCACACCTCCAGCCGTCTGTGGAAACGACAGAATATAATTTTAAAAAGATGACTGGATTAAAAGCGTCTAATCTGAGTGATGTAAGGGTTTGTTTGGTGAGGTGTTGATTTTTTTCTCTGCACATCTTTCAGAAACATGTTGAATGCATGTTACATCATCCTGGAGCTGAAGAACACGGACGGAACAAGAACACGGACGGAACAAGAACACGGACAGAACAAGAACACGGACAGAACAAGAACACGGACAGAACAAGAACACGGACAGAACAAGAACACGGACATGAACAAGAACACGGACATGAACAAGAACACGGACAGAACAAGAACACGGACATGAACAAGAACACGGACATGAACAAGAACACGGACAGAACAAGAACACGGACATGAACAAGAACACGGACAGAACAAGAACACGGACAGAACAAGAACACGGACATGAACAAGAACACGGACATGAACAAGAACACGGACAGAACAAGAACACGGACATGAACAAGAACACGGACAGAACAAGAACACGGACATGAACAAGAACACGGACATGAACAAGAACACGGACAGAACAAGAACACGGACATGAACAAGAACACGGACATGAACAAGAACACGGACAAGAACAAGAACACGGACATGAACAAGAACACGGACATGAACAAGAACACGGACAGTACAAGAACACGGACAAGAACAAGAACACGGACAAGAACAAGAACACGGACATGAACAAGAACACGGACAGTACAAGAACACGGACATGAACAAGAACACGGACATGAACAAGAACACGGACAGAACAAGAACACGGACAGAACAAGAACACGGACAGAACAAGAACACGGACAGAACAAGAACACGGACAAGAACAAGAACACGGACAGTACAAGAACACGGACAAGAACACGGACAAGAACAAGAACACGGACAGAACAAGAACACGGACAGAACAAGAACACGGACAAGAACAAGAACACGGACAGAACAAGAACACGGACAGAACAAGAACACGGACAAGAACAAGAACACGGACAGAACAAGAACACGGACAGAACAAGAACACGGACAGAACAAGAACACGGACAAGAACAAGAACAAGAACACGGACAAGAACACGGACAGAACAAGAACACGGACAGAACAAGAACACGGACAGAACAAGAACAAGAACACAGACATGAACAAGAACACGGACGGAACTAGAACACGGACGGAACAAGAACACGGACGGAACAAGAACACGGACAGAACAAGAACACGGACAGAACAAGAACACGGACAGAACAAGAACACGGACA